CCGGGCGATTTCAGAGAGTTGGGAGGAATGAGATCTCCATTCCTGGGCCCATGTTTTGGTAGTAACCATGATTTAATGACTGCACAAGTCTTGTTGCAGTTATTCAAAGTGTGGATTAGATATCTATGGGAACAATCAGTTTGCCTTAGCATTGCTAATTTTAGATAAGGTCACAAACTTTAAACAGCCCTAGAAATAATGAACTGAGAGCTGTAAGTTACTAAACCTCACAATCCCCCAAGACATTTTCCTGGGGAATCTTCTTAAGGTAGGTAAAAGCAGTGGTGCAGCCAATGTGAATATCCACAATAATTAGATAACATTGTTTGCCTGGCTGTCCCTGACACTGACAATGCATATTGCACAGACATGTTCCACTGTTGTCACCATCAGAAATGATGCAATTTCTGGTGGAAATGCCTGTAAAAAGGAAGTGGCTGCAGGAAATCAGCAGCACTGAGGTGTAACAAAAGGATAAAAAGGTGAAAACTGATTTTTTTTAAACCTCTTGCTACCACTAACTCCAATCAGTCCTTTACTGTGCATTAACACTGGGAGGCGGAAGCAGAGTCTTGATCATGTGACCACTGTGATTGGCTGTCACAGCAGTCACATGATCAGAAGCCTGTCCCTCTGGCTCCCAATTGTTTACAGTGACCGGGACCTGTCTGTGAACAATGAGTCTTATGTAGGCATATATGTGGCAGCTCATGGCTAAAGCCCACCCACCATGCTGCCACATATATGTGGTAAGCGGTAAAATAAGCAGTTTATATATATATATAAAAAAATTATGGCAATTGTTTATAGTACACAGTGCTTTAGCAACCTAAATGCCATTGATTAAGGCTTTACATGTACTTTAAATGCTGCCTATTGTATTGTACGTACTTTGTACTCAATGCAAATAGTTTTGCATAAGCTACAAAGAAAAAGCATAAATAAAGGCAAAGATTCCAAAACAATAAAGCAATAAACTTGTAGTTCTCTTTTACAATTCTGGACTATGTTACTCTGGAAACATTTATATTCTTCCAACTATTTCAAAATATTGCTACTGTAATATTCCAAAAGGTGCATCAATCATTTCCCTTTGGATTTAGATGTGACCCAGGCAAAAAAAGCTGCACAAATTCAAACAGCTGCGTGACAGTTAACGGTCTAGTACTAACTCCTTAGAGGGAATCTCCGCTCCCAGGAGAGGGAAGGCGACAACCAACGGAACAAGATGTAAAATAAGACAAATGATCTGTGTGTGTGTGTTCCCGGAAAATATGAGCAACAAAAACAATTAGCATTCATTTCTGTCATCTAGGCTCATTACTTATTCAGTAAAGCGCCATAAAGAGCAATAATGGTGTACAAACCTATAGAATTCAAACATCAGAAGAACAATAAGCCTGTATTCACACCTGAGCTGAAAATGTTTCGGGATTTACATTTTTTTGCATGTTTTTTTGTTGCATGTTTTTAGGCTTGAGCATTTTCATTTTAGCAAATGCACAGCTAGCTACTAGGAGAATCAAAATCACATGAAAAAAAGACACATCTTTTAGGATCATTTCAGCTGTTCCTATTTAAAGTGAATCTAAACTTAGGAGTTAAATCTTAAAAATGCATTTAAGTGCTTTAACTATTAACAAAAATGTGTTTTATTTGTATATCACTCAGCTGTAGATCCTCAATTCATCTCTGAATTGGTGCTGACACTGTCCTTCCTTCTGGAGGGTGGCTACTTTTCTTCCCCATGGTCTCTGCGTGTGTTGTAAAGTAGTCACCACTCCAAGCTCACTCCTGTGATGGACTACAGTTTGAATACAAATGAGTAAACTAAATGTGAGACTGTAGTCCATTACGGGAACAAGCTTGGAGTAGTGGCTACTTTCCAACACACACAGGGACCAAAAGTAGCCACACTCCAGAAGGAAGGACAGTGTCAAAACAAATTCAGAGATGATTTGAGGATCTACAGCGGAGTGATACACAAATAAGATACATTTTTGTTAATATGTAGGGTGCTTAAATGTATTTTTAAGATTTAACTCCTGACTTTAGTGTCAGTTTCGTTTTAATGGGCCAAAAACATGCGATTCTGTCCAAAGAGAAGCTAGGTATTTTTTCGAGCTTCAAGTTACAAGCCACAGATGACACAACACCCATGTGTGAATGGGCACCAATAAACATAATGGGATTCTCAAAGTCGAGTGTTGTCACGTGTTTCAGAAAACACATGACAAAATGCTCAGGTATAGATGGGGAGCAATGTGATTGCTGATTGGCCAATTTGTACTGCCTTTTAAGCATCATTGTTGCTTTTGTAATACTTTAATAAATACGACTAGGTGTTCAGATACCAAACAGGGATTTTTTTTCAGCAGCTTAGTAAATCTGTATTAGCTGCAATCCACCAATTGGAAACCTAATTGGCTCTTTGATGTGATAGGCAGGTCTTCTTGTTTGTAACATTACTTACATATTGAATCCGTTTATATTCCTATAGTAAAAGAAACTTTACACATATCACATAAGCCATATATAAAAGTTCCATAACTGAACACAATATTCACTCAAAGGATGTATGAATATACACTATCATAATACAGACATTCAGTTCTTATATGCAAAATTAATTTGATAAAAATGGTTCATACTATCAAATATAATGTACGCTAAGCTGTATAAATTAGCTGACAACCAAATAATTTACCATAATGTACCACTAATGACCATGTCACCATAATGTGATATTGTTTCTGTCATCAATCATTTTTTCCCCTGACAATTTCATTGTACAATCGTTTTACAGGGCACATAAGCCATACTGTATGTCAAATATGAATCAATTATTTAAAGTTAGTAGTAGTTAGTAGTACATACCACTTCTACCCATGTATATAATCATATACAGGTCAATAGTGCGATAATAATGAAACAGCTGCCTACAAAAGAACAGACACATTGTGTGTGTGTATATATATATATATATA